GAGGAGGAGGGGGGAGAGGGGGGAGATTTATTTGATTTTTGAAGGAGCAGAAGGAGAACCAGGGTTCAGTCTTGGACTCCTAGAACGGTCGGATGGTCGGATGGTCGGATGGTGGGTCGACACCAGATCCGTGGAAGATAAATGGACTTTTGTTCTTTGAACTGACATCACAGGCTCTTTGATCTGTTCCAGGTCAAATGTTTCCTAAATGAAAGTCTCACCCAGGTCGTCCAGCAGGATGTTCTCAGGTTTCAGGTCTCTGTGAGACAAAGACCGACAAACGGTGTCAGAGAATCACAGAAGCCCCCCCCAGCCAAAGACCCCCCAGCCAATGACATCAGAGTGTGCCCCCCCCCCCCCGACCTGTAGACTATTCTCTCTCTGTGCAGGTCCTCTAACCCACAGCAGATCTCTGCTGTGTAGAAAACGGCTCTGGTCTCATCGAAGCCTGCCGCCCCCATGTGGTAGATGTGGAACTTCAGGTCACCCCCGTTCATCAGGGTCAGAACCAGACACAGCGCCTCCTTGGTCTCGTATGCGTACGCCAAACTCACCTGGAGATGGAAGTTGAAAGTAACTCCAGGGAAACGTTACGTTAAATCCCGCTACAGCCAGCAGGTCGTAGCTGATTGGTTGCTGGTGTTCAGCTCAGCCAACAGAACTGTGGCGCCTGTGGAGGACGGTGGAGAAGTGGAGAGGAGTTCTTACCACAAACCTGCTGTTGACCTTCTCCAGGATCTGCTTCTCGTTCAGGGCCATGGACTCTCCTTTCCTCTTCTTGATTCTCTTCTTCTCCAGCTTCTTACAGGCGTACAGTTTCCCTGTGGCCCGAACCTGACAGGCGCACACCTGCAGAGGGCGCAAGAGCATCGGAAAAAAAATCACAACGGGATCAGTTAGAAATCAAATACAATGAAGAGCAAACATGTAAAACATGTTGTTTGTTTTTCCCAGAAACCTACTCACCTCCCCAAAACCTCCTTTTCCCAGAACCCTGTACTGTCTGAAGGTGTTTTTAGTCACAGGCTGCCTGAAAAGGAAAGCACACAGATAAACAACAATCAATACAAATCCCTTTTTTTTCATCACAGTGTTTTGTTTCTAAAGACATTGTGTTTCTCCACACACCACTGTTGACTCATTACAGTCAATTAAATCTAACGAAGAGCAGCAGTGACCGGGTCTCTGGAGCCAGGACTCTCCGCTCACGTCCCTGTGGACTCCCCATTAA